TTAAAAACTTGCATTAAATTATCTGAGAGTAAGAGTTGAGGCAGTAAATATATTTAAATAAAAACATACTTTGCTACAATAGTACTCAGGCTCATACTGGTAATAGCTACACAGAGATGTCTGTTAAATCCAATGTGAGTCTGGTATGCAGAATAATGGCAGACAAAAAAAGAAATTCATTAAATGCTTGTTACTACAACTGCTCAACGGTACCACCATTTCCCCATCTTAAGTTTCCCAGGAGCAGTTCCACTCAAAAATAAGCCCAACGATACAATTCTGTGTAAATCTTCTGGGTTCATTCAAGTAGAAAGCACTACACGTCAGTCCGGACACAAAGCAAATCACCCCCCTGGCACTGTTCAGCTCTGTGACAACCAAGGGTAACACGTCTATGGAGCAGTCAATGGAGCGGATGCCGTAAAGCAGGAAAAGCAACAGGCCACTCATGAATGGCGATAAGCAGGATACAACACTCCGAGAGCCAATCAAACAGCACAGGAGAGTTACAGCTTTCATGTGAATAATTTATTCTTTTATCACTTTAAATTTTACCAGGTACTTATTTACAAAGAAAATTTTTTGTGGACAGAATTTACATCAGCTACCGCACAATTTTATTCATTAATAGGGTATGATTAGCATCCTTCCCATGTTGCTTAACAGTGCCTGTTTTGATCAAATAGGGTTATTCTTTTGCCAATTATTCTTTTGACTTAGTTTCCAAGCGTAAACAGACTTTCTACAAATGCCTTTGCTGCAATGAAGATTTCTTTTTACGGAACCAGTTAATAGATGGAAATAGCAAAGTTCCATCTGTTATTAGCATTTGCTAAGAAGGCTCGTTTCTTTATTGAAGCGGGGATTCTGTTTGAGATGCAATGAAGGCTTTCAGCATTTCCATGTCAGGCACTGCAAGGCCTCTTTACCAAGGCATCGCCCCTGAGAAGAATCCAAATTACCTGCTGGGCCTCCCAGTGCATGGAGTCCCTCACCTCAGACTGGCAACCCAAAATACAGAGCCTGTCTGGAAAAGCTTTCCACAGGAGAAAAAAAATCTTTCCACAGGAGAAAACTTGCCCAATTGCACCAACATGTACTAAATGTGTCCTGAATTACCCAGCCAGGGGCTGGAGCCTGGAAGCTACCCAGAACTCAAGGTGCAGGAGCCTGTGTGCTCTTGGAGATTTGCATGAGGTTCATCCCTGAAAAAGAGCCGCAGGAGGTTGTCACGGTAGTCTTCTAAATACTCATCTAAATTTGAGAACACACACACATGAAGTGGGAGGCTCGAGTTCAGTCCTTGCTCAGCTTAAGGGGATTCAAGCCTACGTCCTCTAGCAGATGACCTTGAAAACAGGAGTAGTCTAGGGAGGAGGAAACAAAAAAAAGTATCTCCTGCACATCCTTTTAAAAGTGGGAGAAGGGGACTGTGAGATTCATGAAGAAAGACAGCAGAGAGGACTCTCCAGCTAGTCTCAGATTACTCGGTGAGGCTGATGGTTTGAATTTACCTACCTGGATCATTTCTGAGATTTTTAGCCAATTACTGTATAATACAAAATGCACAAATATTTAGAAATCAGGGATTAGCTCCAAGAGGTCCTTCAATCCATTGCCAATCAGGCTGTGGGAGATGTGGATTGAATCCTTGCAGGCTAAGAAAATGAACACATATCTCCATGTTCCCATGCAAATACAGTAGCCTTCAGGCTAATAGATAAATAGCTTTGTTTTAAAAGCAAAACATAGGCAAACACAATTTAAGGGTGGCCTGGCCTTTAGTTTGTACCATAAAACCATATTACACCAGTGACTTCTGGGTATTGCATCATCTAGTTTCAAAGGAGTTTAGGCAGCAGGTAGGTGTGTACCTGCGCAGAGGCGGAGGGGAACTGCTCAGCACCTCCGCACATTAAAGGGACAGCGGTTGTTCAGTTTAAGTTAAACGGGAGAGTTCTGGGATGACAATTTTGGCCTTCAGTGCCTTAAGTCTACCTAAATTCTGGTTTTAGTACCCAAGTTTGGTGGGGTTTTTTTGGATACGCTGAAGATATAACTGGGGGGGGAAAAAACCAACTCTCAGCAAACCTGCCTCAGGCTCACCAGGGAGGAAACAGAGGCCACAGAGTAGGAAATCTGGCTAGAAACATGCCTCTGTTGTCAATCATCAGGCTGTGATTATGCAAAGAGTGTACAAAGGAAACAGGTTTGACAGACAGCTACTAATGAAGACCAGACGCTGCCCTCACACTGTGTAAATAGTGAAAGCAGGTAAGTACTTGATTCAACCCTTTCTAACAATAGGAAGCTAGCAAAAATACAAACCACTGCAGGTTTGTACAATGATTATGTCCAAATATACTTTCTTCATGGTATACAGCAACAAATACCGGAAGAAAGGATCTGTTTCATTCTTTCCCGAAAGTCTGTGGCATATTTTCGCAGCTTAAATAATGGAGAATTCCCCAAACTCATTTAGAAGCATTTTTATGCATTATGGAATGAAAATGCTTAATTAATGTTTAATTAATAGGAATGCAAAAGCTGGCTTGATTCCTCACTATGCTGTAGTACAAGAGCTATACTACGTAATATTTTGACCTATGAAATCGTATTGTATTGTAAGATAAAACAGACATATCCTTGTGTGTTCCTGGTGACTCTAATTCAAAATCTGGCCTAGCACTTATGTCTTTAGTTTAAGTACACACGTTAGTATTTCACTACACAGCTTGATATACTTCCTACAGTTAACATAAAAATGATACTGAAGGCAAACACATCATTTCTCTTTCCTGCTCAAGCTACAATGCTGTAATTTAATTTAGAGTCAACATGTCCAAGGATTCTTGTCTGAGAATTAAGTCCACCATTCAGTGCAAAAAAAAAGAAATCAATTTCTTGTGAATCACTAACAAATATGCCAACTGTGGTATTTAATTCCACTGCACCAACCCATACTGAGGCCACAATAAGTATGGGTGGACTCTGCAGGCACTCTGCAGGCCTACAGCTCCTACCTGGGTGATGCTTTAATTAGGTCACTAGGGAATAGGCTCGCTTGGCTAAGAGCTTTTATGACTGGACCACTGTTTTCTACAGGATGGGTAACCAGATCAGCTGTATTAAAACCCTGTGCAAGACAGAAGGAGAAAAGGGGAAAAAAAAAAAAAACCCAACACAAAAAAACCCCAAACATGATCTATAAACTTCACTACTCTCTTTTGTGAAGATGGTGTCTCTTAGGACAGAGCCTGCTGCCTTCCTTTGGAACTAGCAATAACATATAAGAATGCTAATGTCCTGCTTAACAGAAACGTCTTAATAAAAAATAAAAAGATCTGCTTTTTTGATGTAAGGTCCCTATGTCTTTCTAAAATATGAAACTATTCTAGAGGCTTTGAGTAAAAACAATTCCCTTCCACAGTCCATGCCAGTTCCAGGCTGAATTACCAACAGCAAAAACACTGGTTCTGTTTTTCAGAAAGGGTTTCTCAGTGATTTACTGTAAAGCTAAAACATTTGCCTTGCCTATTGATTTTTTTATATAAAATCTATAAAATAAATGCATGTGCCCTTTTCAATATAGTCTGTCTACGTAGACGGTTTATACTTTTCCAGTTCTGAGTAACATGACAAAAAGTATGCTCCAACTTTCCACAGGCAGGAAGAAGCTTTGTACGGTTTCATCTCGCTAGGATGCTGCTCCACAAACAGCGCGCTCAGGCGGTTCAGAATCCCAATGACAACGTATGCCATCGGCACGTACTGCAACTAACAAGGACTTATTGATTACAGCAATCATTAGATCGAAATAAATAAAGCAGTCTCTCAATCAAAAGATAGGGAAATAACATCATGCTAGTGCACAATATAATCAACATGTGTAGCGTGTTCCCATTTTCTGTGTCCTCTGTTGATGGTCTTGCACGAAGTTGGAAAAGCCTCTTGCCACAGGATACCGAACATACAGTGAAACATTTAAGCTGTCTGCAGTCAGTTTCAAAGAATTTACATTTGGTTTAGGTTAATTTTCCTTGACCTGCAGTTAATTAAAGAGCAGCTGAAGTACAAAATATTTCCCCCAACTCTAGTGGCATACATGGTCATGTCAATCGGTTGCAGTCTGAACAGCTTCAGTTCATTTTTGTTTAAATTCAAAATCTCTGATATAAAAAGTAATAAAAAGTAATAATGTCTTTTTATGCAGAAATCATCGACTTTTTCAGATAAAGAACATAACATACCAACATTTCATACCTGCTATAATATGCCATATTTTAAAAAGGTAACTTGCCCTTTTTTTTTTTTTTTTTTATTCCAAATACAAACATGTGGCACACATTTGTGTTACTGAAAACTTTAAGTCTGGTATCTGTTAAATCATTTGTGGTTGAAATTCCTGGGACCGCACAGTGCCATGTCTTCCCTAAACCATCTACTGCACCAGAAATGAAAGGCTATGATGGAGACGACCTTCCTATACTTTTCTAACACAGGAAATAGTTGGTTTAACATAAAAACAAATGCAGCTAAGCTACGACAGCGTTTATCCCTCTGTATCATCCTGGAAAGCAAACAAATGGCAGAAATGATCCAGCCCAGATTGCAACTACGTGTGAACACACAACTGACGCTAACATTAACGTCCCATTACAACACTGTTGTAAGGAATTTTTTTAGAAATCCAGGTGTAAATAAGTTTTTCTCAGATTGGAAATTGGCACAAACATAATCCAGAGATTACTCTTTATAGCAGCTTTTCCTTTCATGTGCTTGGCTTTTCACACAAAGCACAGCATACACGAGAAGAGTTACAACCGAGTTACAACCAAGTGGCTCCGGCTCAACATCTTGAAAGCAGAGAGGAGGAAAGGGGAAGCCCCTTCTCTCTGCAGACACGCCAGAGAAGGTCCCCTCTGTAGGGAGGACTTTTTGGGTCCCCCACACCTGCAACCCAGCTTCCTGCTTGAGAAGCCAGAGCCAGGCTGGCCACCTCACAGTGGGAGGGAACCCTCCTGGTCCCCTGCTTTGTCCAGCCTATCGGGCAGGGTGAGCACGAAGGGTAGGAGGACACCCTTGGCATCCAAGGGAGCTTTAAGAAGTTCCCTGTCGAAGGTACCCTTGAGTCCGCCATCCGCTTCCACCTCACCGTCCTGGGCTAGGCTGAAGCGGAGGGTGCCGGTCCGGTTGACGCAGTAGATGGTGTTGCCCAAGGGGGCACAGCGGAAGGGTGGGGCCCGCCACTGGGCCGCAGGCTGGCGCACTGGCTCCAGCGCTTGGCCACTGTGTTGTACCGGAAAACTTCGACACCGCCGCCAGTCCCGCCGCCTGGGCCCTGCTCCCCACCGCGGCCACTGCTCACGTCGAAGCGGTAGATGAAGCTCTTGAAGGCCAC